CACACACACACACACACACACACACACACACACACACACACACACACCCTAAGTCTTTTAAAAGTTGTAGAAAGAAAACTCTGACTTTCAGAATTCTACTCTTCAAAGCAGATTCCCTGATTCTGACTTGTTGTCATAGCAAGCCATCTCCTGGTATAATGGTGCTTTTACTGTTTTAGAAAGTATAGTTCTATTGTGAGCATTTGGCCAAGCAGGCAACAATAATAACAAGGCCTACACTCTAATATCACCCTGCCTGCTCAATGCTGACCGACTCCGCAATCACAAACACGTTATTTTAGCTATCTCACACTGATCTCAGCACTCAACAAGAATTAAGTGAAACAGTACATGCAAGCAACTTAGAATAGGCCTGGGACATATATTATACAAAAGATCCCCTTCGCCCCCACCCTTAAGTGATTAACATCTTAGGGCTCCATTCCTAAATAATTCCTTTTCTAAAAGAAATGACCTTTCCTCCTTCTGTGTCACTTGTGATTTTCCTGAGGGACAGTACTTTTGTACTTATTAAACTCCTGTGGCTGACAGTTAATGTCCTCCTTTATATACTGAAGAAACTCACCACTCTGTTATGCTTTCTTCAGTGAATACCTACTCTAATTGTTGGCTCTGGGCATAGCTTTTATATTTTTCTGAACAAACCTAATATTCTGAATATATGTGGTACATCGATGATGAAAGATCTTTCAGTAGCCACTGCTGACATTTATCAATCTTTTATTTTTCCCCATTTGACAGATCTAAAGTTCCATCTACTACTGTCTGTTATCTGTTACTAAGAAACCACGAGGTGCAGAAAAGCCAGAAGAAAGTCTAATGTCACAGGACTACTCCAATTCCCTTTCAGACTTGTGTTAACACCAGGCATTATACTATACCTCTGAATGGCTTTTCATCTCATTTCTGTACGTGTCAAGATCTCCCATTTTCAAGGCCACTGCAGCCTTGGTCAATGTCACTAAGACCGGTGAAACTCCACAAGTATCCAGCTTCCTTAAATAATGCAAGGCAGTTAAAGGATCAATATTCTTCATAGAAGGACTAGAGAGAACATGAGGCAGTTGCTTCGGCTCAGCCGCATGAAATATCTGAGCCACTTTTGCTGCTAATTCCTTTGATGAGTATGAATAAAAAGTAAGCAGTTAGCCAATAGGAAATAATACAGTCAAAGAAAAAAAGGAACGTATGTATAAAATGCAGTAGATAAATAACATAATATTATTGAGAAACAGAGATTATGAAAATATTTGAAAGGCTAAAAATGAGCTGACATGATCTGTCTGCAGAGAACAATAAGAAAATAAAAGCAGTAAAAGAGATATACCAATTTGTGACCAAAATTTCTAATTTTAATCACATAGAAGAAAATATTATTATACTTAAAAATCTACAGTTTAAAAACTACAACTTAGTTCAAAATATACTCAATAATATAATTCAGGTGAAAATTTACTTCCCTTAAAATCTCCAAGTATATGGCATTTCAATTTCCAACTGTGCTTAAAATACAAAAGGGTCTAAAAGTAATCTTTAATAATATTTTAAGAGGTCATTGGCCCTTAAATAATCTTTGGACTCTTGAGAATAGAGCAAATGGAGTTGTGGGAAAAAAATACTGCAGAGGAAGACAGGGACCAGATTTTGTCCTTCTCTTGAGAATATATCTCACTGTGACTAGCAGGTCCCTCAGCCATAATAGCCTCCATGCTGAATACTGAGGAAACATGAGAAGGTCATGCCTAAATTCTTTTCCAAGCTATAATTCTAAGACCATTAAAGAAGTAAAGGGCATGTTAATTTTTTTAGGAAAAAAAAAAGAAGAAAATTTTGGAACTTAAGTTCTAAATACTACTAACTAAAAAATATATTAAAATGAAAAGTTAAAAAGAGAAGCTGTAAATTTATAGAAAATTATACTCACTTCACTTAATTCTTCCAGGTTTTCATAAAGAGAATGATTAATATAAAATACTAATCCTTTTTCAGATTTCTGTGATTCACTCTCTTCTGTCCAATCTGCACGGGCCAAGACTTCAGCCAGAGACAAACCAGACATCTTATAGTATGGCAAGGCAAGATGGGATTGCTCAGTGTTAAGCCTAAAGAGAAGAAATTTTAAAGGGTTTCAAATGTACATTTCTATGCCAGTTACTTAACACAGTAAAGTAATAAAACAGATAATGCTTTTCAAAGACAAGCCTCACAGCTTGATTTCATAAAGTCACTCTAATTAGTATTTTTTTTCTGGGGTTATTAAAGGTAGAAAAGCAATCATTCATTAAATAAATTTTAATATTTAATATAACTCAAAAAATGGCATTTGTAGTCTATCTCAGTCACTCATAACCACTTACACAGGTGAAGTAAGCCTATAAAACATTGTCTACAAAAATTTTTATAAGCACATGATTCTCAGAATTGGAGAGCTGGCCCCACCTGAGCAGCACAGTGTGGCTGGCCCTGAGGGCATGAGGGCAGGAGAGCTGGCCTGGGTCCTTGCAGGCTGCAGCATTGGGTAAGCTAGCCAGGACAGTGCTGGCTCTGGTTGTGGAGGTGCAGGAGAGCTCTGGCAGGCTGAACAACCCAGCTGCCGATCAGGCTTCGACACAGGGTAGATACAGATGTTGGGCCACCCCAACATCTACCTCATCTATGAACTAATGGACCTCATGAAGGGGCTGGTCCAGCAGATCCAAAGCTTCAGGATCTCCTGACACAGGGCAACATCAGGACACCAGACAGGAGTCCCAGTGAGCTTCCAGTGTTGATACTGAAGCACATGCCAATGACTCGTAATAAACATTTGCAAGGACAGATGTATAGAGAATAGTGTATACTGTGTGACACACTTATACACTATGGCTTCCAAGAAGAGATGTTTTGCGTTATTGTTTCTTGGTTTTTCTTTTTGTTTTGTTCTATTTGTTTGTTGGGGGGGGGTGTGAAGGAACAAGGAGATGAGTGGGACTGGAGGGCATGATGTCAAATTTACAAAGAATCAATAACAAATTTAAAAAAGTGGTCCTCAGAAATACAAAACTCTACTGACCTTAATATGCCTTTCTGATATCATGAAAGCACTGACTACTAATATTAATCTCTCAGACTGTTCCAGTTACACCCCTCCCTCAAGCTAACAGACAACAAACAAGTACCAAAACCATCTCAGTTCTTTTTCTCTAAGCATCTGTCCCTCAAATCCTAAAAACAAAATAAAATAAAAGAAAGTAAGTAAGTAAATAAATACGATCACCCTCCAAATCCAAACGTTAGGCAGTGGGTCTATTACGTCTCTAAGAAGCTGTGACACTTTCAAGACCTGGGTAGGTCATATTCATTGTGTATCTCTAAGCCTACAACATACCTACATACGGACCTGACACACAGCATGCTTGTGAAACAGATGAGAAAATGAACCACCTCCCAGAGATAAAAATCCTGGTAAGTGCATGCAAACTCTGTAACAACACTCCAAAGGCCTCCCTCACCTGCTATAACAGTCTCCAAGGTGTGCACAGCTTTCTTTAAAGGCTTCCAGGAGCTCCGCTTTCTCTGCAGGCTCCAGCTGACTACCATCCATCAGGGCAGCTGTCACCAGCAGATGAGCCTCGCTCAGCAAGTGGAGACAGCTCTCGGTTTTCACAGTCTTGTAGCTGTTACTGTAGTCTACCTGAAACAAGAAGACAAACAGCTAGGGCCTCTGAAGAAGGCTGTCCATTCCCCACCCCAGTCCCACTCTTAAGAACTGTTACATTTTGTTATTAAAATTAATATATGGGTATATTAAACACTAAAATTAAATAAATAAGTGGTTGCTTATTGCCTTAGTTTTATTTTATTGCTGCAATAAAATACCACCATCAAGGCAACTTGGGGACTAAAGGTTTATTTGGCCTTCACGTCACAGTCTGTCACTGATGGAAGCTAAGTAAGAAACCTGGAGGCAAACACTGAAACAGAGACCAGAGGGACTGCTGCTTAGACTTGCTTGGCCTGCTTTATTTTCCTTCTCTTACTTTTTTTTTTTAAAGATTTATTTAATTAATTTTATGTATCTGAATGTTTGAATGCTTTCCGTGGATGTAGTATGTCTGTATACCTCATGAATGCCTGAAGGTCAGAAGAGGGCATCAGCCCTACCAGAACTGTAGTTATGGATAGTTAGGAGGTACAGTGTGGGTTCTAAGAATTAGACCTGGGTTCCCTACAAGAGCAACAAGTGCTCTTAACCACTGATCCATTTCTCCAGCCTCAGTCGGCTTTGTTACATAATCCGGACTCACCTGTACATGGGTGGTACTGTCCCAGTGAGCCAGGCTCTTCCACATCAACCTTTAATCAAGAAATCATCCTACAGACTTGCCTACAGGCCAATCTGATACAGGTATTTTCTCGAACAAGGTTTCTCTTCCCAGATAACTCTAGTTTTTGTCAAGTTGGCAAAAACACCCTGACCTGGTCATTAATAGAACTTTTGCAGAGTTTTCTTTCTCCACAATCTATAAACCAAATTAATACACTTATGATTACAAACATTACTTTGTTAACAGCTTAAAGCATTATGAAATTACAAATGATATTATAATATTAATAATGTAGTTATCAATAACTTGTTCCCAATTTGATAAGGCTTTTGAACATACTTAAAATAATCAGTTTTTTTCTTTATAGGTCTGTGACTTAGCTTTTTCAAACTTCGAACATGTCTCCCCTGTTGAGTCTCACCTAGTGACTTTAATTATGACATCTAATTCTATGGCTCTATAGCTCACAGTGGGGTGTGGGCCATCACCCGCTAACTCAATAACCAGAATCATCAGATTTCAGAACTCACATTTAGATGAGATCTAAGACTTTCCAGGACAAAGTTGATATAATTACTAGTGTAAAAATATCAGAAATAAGTCAATCAATACTTAACAATATTACCAAAATTGACACCACCAGTGAGGTATCAATGTTATTATCTGCTTCCACAGTGTAGAAAAATATAACTTTATCTATGTAGTTTTCTGCCTGAGAATGTATAACCATAGTCTAATCATTAAAAAGTAACAAAATTAAGAATATTGTCGAAACAAAGAAAAAGTAGAGAGGAAATCTGTCCCCAAAATGTTAATGTTATAAAATAAAAGGAAAGACTCTTGGAATGGTCTAGATTAAAGGGAGCTAATGGAACATAATTAGGCATGTTACCTGATCCTAGACTGGATTGGTGGGAAAGCTATGAAGTCATGACTGACTAAACTGGGTAGGATATAAACCATGATGAACTAGATATTGTGTCAAGATTAGATTTACTGCAGCATATGGCTTACTGTATGTGGTTAAACAGGACAGTACCTGATTATTTAAGAGTCAAAACTCTGTGACTGTGCAGTTACTTATCAATAGACCAAGGGAAATAATTGTGTTGAGAAAGGATGGGGTACCCCATGAGGGTGAATAGGGAGGAATACAGACAATCTGTGTGTTAGCTATAAGGCTCTCTTTGTATTTTATTCAATTCTTACTACTTCTCTAAGCTTGGCGTTATTTAAAGGAAAAGTATTTTAATTGCCAGAGATGAGTAGGGAACTGTGACTCTTTTTCTTTTTTTTGATATTTTATCTATTTACATTTCAGATGTCATCCCCTTTCCCCACCTCACCCCCATAAACCCCCTACTGAATCCCTCCTCCTTTTTGCTTTTATACCATTTTAATTACATGAAGTATTAAGATCAGTTCTAGGTTGAGGAACTAGCAATACAATAGATGCAAATAGTCAAGGAACAAGCAAGACAATAAACACAAATAGTCAAAGAACAAGCAAGGCAATAATCAAAGTCCTGTGAACACTCCCGTCATCACTGTTTCTAAGGGCTTCTCAAGATGACCAAAATATCTGAGCCAACTTCCCTGTCCAAGCCTAAAATCATTTTTGTGCCTGAAGCCTACTTCTTCAGTTTCTAGCCTAAGATTTAGATTCCTGCCTGAAATTACTTCTTTGTTCTAGCCTAATATCAGATTCCTGCCTGAAGCCCATTTCCTTGTCCTTGGCCAATGTCAGATTCCTTCCAAGCAGGAATTGTGACTCTTAGAACAGGACAGGAATGCCCATTCTAAGCCCCACACAAGCTGTAGCTGCAGTAGCTATTATACCTGGGGACAACCTGTTACACTCCAAAGAAAGAATAAGATAGAGATAAATGATCTGAGCTTTCCTACTCCATTTTTCCATTCTCTTTACTAGGTGCTTTAGTTTAGCTTCTGTTTCTATGATAAAACACTAATCAAACTCAACCTGGAGGAGGAAAGAGTTTACATTGAGGGAAGCCAAGATGTGGAGACAGGAACTGGTACAGAAGCAGAACTGTTTCTGGACTTGCTACAAAGCTTGCTCCACTTGCTTTCTTAGATCACTTAGGAACACCTGATAATGAGTCGGCATTAACCGTGGGCTAGGCCTTCTTCCCTCAGAGATTAAGACAACACCCCACAGACCTGCCTACAGGGAAATCTGATGGAAGAATCAATTAAGATTTCCTCTTCCCAGATTATGTCTAGGTTTGCGGCATGTGGAGAAAAACCAACCAGCACACTGGGACTCAATGTCAATGGCTACTTGTGCTTAAACTAATTCAGCAGTCCTCTCTGGGGGGGGGGGTATGAGTAAGGGGTCTCCCCCTTACTGAGAGAACTAATACTATCTCTTAAATGTCAGAAGCTGTAAAAACAAGGCTAAGAAAGATACATGCTTGACTGTCATGATGGAGGCTGGAAGTTGTCTGGATGAAGTGTCCTGAATGTATAATTATTTAAATTCACTTTCTTTTCCTCACTTGAAGTTTCCTTGGTGAAATACAAGGCACAGAGATTAGGCAGCAACAAGAGCAATGTCTGCCTAGACTCAGCCTCTGATACCTAATTTCACTCTAAATTTCTATAAAGAATAAGATGTCTGACCCTTCCTCCCCTGTCTGGTCCTTTGGGCTGAGGAAGACACAGAGTTGGTCTGCTCCTGTCCTGCGGAGATACTGACTCCTAGGTCATCCTAGAGGAGCCACTGCACTCAGAGCAGCCGATACTGACTCCTAGGTCATCCTAGAGGAGCCACTGCACTCAGAGCAGCAGACACCAAGGAGATTAGGAGCATAAGACCACAGAGACATCTGGACTCTGAGGAGCTCTGCAACAAGCAAGATAACTGG